TTCTTTATTTTTACCATTATTTAAGAGTCTTGTCTTATGGAAGCCCAAGTGACAAAGTTGTCTTTTTAGTTTCTTTTATTTTATGACCTATATATAGAGGCCATTGCTCTTGTATTAGGATGATGGATTATTAAGAAAAGAAATTTGTTTTGCACTTTTATTCTTTGAGAGGACGTTAGTGGGAATCCCTATGGAGGGAATTGTGGTTTCCACGAGTCGCAGGATAGGTCCGGGCTCGTGGCTTGAAGTCCCTTGGTGAAGGGCATCATATCACCCATCAGTCTTCGGAAGAGTTCAAGGCTCACTGTTTTATCTCTTTTTTCTTTGTTTTGTTTTTCCTTTCTTTCCTAAACCATCACCTCCTCAAGCTCTCCACCAAGGCGCCAATCCTCTCACCCTCATCACCTCTACACCATCGGCCTACACCATCCCTCCCTTCCTCCTCCCTCCCCATGGCTGAAATCCACCATGGCTCCACCCACCCGCTCGCGACCTCCTTCCCTAGCCCCACTTCCCAAAAAAAAAAAACCCTCATGCCTTATTTAAGTTATCATTAATTTGGAAAGATTTTAAATTCAAATTAATCTAATTTGAATTTCAAATACATCCTCATTAATTACCTTATTTTTAGAAACCTCTTTCATTTAATTAATTAATCAATTCTGAAATAGATTGATTAATTAATCCATAGTCCAAATACATTGAACCTAAACACTCATAGTCCCCCCTCTCTCTCTTGGCCGGCCCCAAACCCATGCCCTCTTTAAATTTCTTTCCAAAATTAGATTAATGATTATCTTGGAAAGATTTTGAATTCAAATCCAACACAATTTGAAATTCAAATAATTTCCTAAATTAATTGATCTATTTTAGGAAAGTCTTTAAATCAATTCTAATTCAATTTCAAATTTGATTTGAATAAAATTCTCTCCCTCAATTTAAGACTATTGAATAGGCGAGTTTTAATTCTACCCCTCCCTCTCACCAATTTTAATTAATGCTTCTCCATTAAGGACTCCAATCTCTCTCTATTTAAGGGATTAATTAAGTACCCCTTCCTCCTTTTCCCATTTAATTTGAAATTCAAATTTGAAATGACCCCCCCTATCCGTTCTACATGAGTTTGGTATCAGAGCATAGTTGCCCGGGATGCGGATTCGACGGAGTCGAGCTCTTTTCCACCCCGGGAGAATGATGCGGACATCAGACGTTGGACATTAATCAAAGGAAGAGACGAAGATTGAAGGCCGAGATCACTTCATTTTATCTTAATTTATTAATTGTATTTTTTTTAATTATGCATTTTTTTCTATTTTTACCCTTATTTAAGAGTATTGTCTTATATAAACCCAAGGGGCAAAGTTGCCTTTTTAGTTTCTTTTATTTTAAGGCCTATATATAGAGGCCCTTGCTCTTGTATTAGAATGATAGATTATTAAGAAAAAAAAATTATTTTGCACTTTTGTTCTTTGAGAGGACGTTAGTGGGACTCCCTATGGAGGGAATTGTGGTTTCCACCAGCCATAGGATGGGTCCGGACTCATGGCTTGAAGTCCCTTGGTGAAGGGCATCGTATCACCCGTCAGTCTTCGGAAGAGTCCAAGGCTCGCGAATCTATCTCTTTATTCTTTGTTTTATTTTTCCTTATTTCCCTAAACCACCACCTCCTCAAGCTCTCCACCAAGGCATCGATCCTCTCACCCTCATCACCTCCACACCATCGGCTTACACCAGCCCCTCCCTTCCTCCTCCCTCCTCTTGGTTGAAATCCACCATGGCTCCACCCACCCGCCGGTCACCTCCTTCCCTAGCCCCACTTCCCTCAAAAGAAAAAAAATCTCTTTCCTTATTTAAGTTATCATTAATTTGGAAAGATTTTAAATTCAAATTAATCTAATTTGAATTTCAAATACATCATCATTAATTACCTTATTTTTGGAAATGTCTTTCATTTTATTAATTAATCAATTCTGAAAATGATTGATTAATTAATCCCTAGTCCAAATACATTGAACCTAGACACTCCTAGTCTCCCCTCTCTCTTGGCCGGCCCCATACCCATGCCCTCTTTAAATTTCTTCCCAAAATTAAATTAATGATTATCTTGGAAAGGTTTTGAATTCAAATCCAACACAATTTGAAACTCAAATAATTTCCTAAATTAATTGATCTATTTTACGAAAGTCTTTAAATCATTCTAATTCAATTCCAAATTGGATTTGAATAAAATTCTCTCTCAATTTAAGACTATTGAATAGGCAAGCTTTAATTCCATCCCTCCCCCTCTCCTATTTTAATTAATGCTTCTCCATTAAGGTCTCCCATCTCCCTATATTTAAGGGATTAATTAAGTACCCCTTCCCTCCTTTTCACATTTAATTTGAAATTCAAATTTGAAATGACCCCCCCCCCCCCCCCCCCCCCCCCTATCTAATATACATGAGTTTGGTATTAGAGCATGGTTGCCCCGGATGCGGACTCGACGGAGTCGAGCTCTTTTCCACCCCGGGAGAATGATGCGAACATCCGACGTTGGAGGTTAATCAAAGGAAGAGACAAAGATTGAAGGCCGAGATCACTCCATTTTATCTTAGTTTATTAATTATATTTTTTATTTTAATTATGCATTTTCTATTTTTACCCTTATTTAAGAGTATTGTCTTATGTAAGCCCAAGGGGCAAAGTTGCCTTTTTAGTTTCTTTTATTTTAAGGCCTATATATAGAGGCTTTTGCTCTTGTATTATGGATTATTAAGAAAATAATTTTTTTTGCACTTTTGTTCTTTGAGAGGACGTTAGTGGGAATCCCTATGGAGGGAATTGTGGTTTCCATCAGCCGTAGGATGGGTCTGGGCTCGTGGCTTGAAGTTCCTTGGTAAAGGGCATCATATCACCCGTCAGTATTCAGAAGAGTCCAAGACTCGTGGTTCTATCTCTTTTTTCTTTGTTTTGTTTTTCCTTATTTCTCTAAACCACCACCTCCTCAAGCTCTCCATCAAGGCACTGATCCTCTCACCCTCATCACCTCCACACCATCGGCCTACACCAGCCCCTCCCTTACTCCTCCCTCCCCTTGGCTGAAATCCACCATGGCTCCACCCACCCGTCGGCCACTTCCTTCCCTAGCCCCACTTCCCTAAAAAAAAACCTCTTTCCTTATTTAAGTTATCATTAATTTGGAAAGATTTTAAATTCAAATTAATATAATTTGAATTTCAAATACATCCTCATCAATTACCTTATTTTTTGAAACCTCTTTCATTTAATTAATTAATCACTTCTGAAATTGATTGATTAATTAATCCCTAGTCCAAATACATTGAACCTAGATACTCCTAGTCCTCCCTCTCTCTTGGCCGGCCCCATACCCATGCCCTCTTTAAATTTCTTCCCAAAATTAGATTAATGATTATCTTTGAAAGGTTTTGAATTCAAACCCAACACAATTTGAAATTCAAATAATTTCCTAAATTCATTGATCTATTTTAGGAAAGTCTTTAAATCAATTCAAATTCAATTCCAAATTGAATTTGAATAAAATTCTCCCTCAATTTAAGACTATTGAATAGGCAAGCTTTAATTCCACCCCTCCCTCTCTCCTATTTTAATTAATTCTTCTCCATTAAGGCCTCCAATCTCTCTCTATTTAAGGGATTAATTAAGTATCCCTTCCGTCCTTTTCCCATTTAATTTGAAATGACCCCCCCCCCCCCATCTGTTCTACATCACTTACATTTATTAAATAAAGAAATCTAATTTCATAAACTTATTATTTTTATTTATTTTCTATTTTTAAAATAATTTGGGCAAAAAAAAATTGCAAATTTTTATCACCATAGTTGCATGTAATTCTTTTGAAAATTACTTAAATTTCATGCATGATAGCATGGAAGCCTTGTCAATAGCCCTTAAGGCTTTTAGACCAAATTTTGAGGTTACATGTTCATAGAAATTACATTGAGCTCTTTTTACTGTAATTCCTCAAATTAATATAGAGGAGAAAATTTCATCCAATAAAGGAGGAGAGAGCAAGTAGACCAAGGAGGATAGAGAAAGTGCAATACATGAAGATCTACCTTTAATTATGATATGATGTGATGAAAAAATGAAGAGACAAATATTTGTAAGTCATATATTGATGTAATTTTATTTAATTTTGACACTTCATATAATTTTCTCTTTATATTCCTTGGGCTTTTAATTTTATTCATGATGTAAAGCCTATATCTAACAATGGAATTCTAAAATGTAGCATACTACATTTGCAATGCAATTTGAGATAACTCACTTTTTCTCCAAACTTCGATTAATGGCAAATTTATTAACTCTTCCTTTTTCCTTTGATGAGGTTGAGAGTGATACAAATCATTTGGTAAGGGTAAGATAGTTGTCCAGTTACGATTCAGTTAGTGTTCTTATATTGCTTGTGTACTTTTTTCATAACTCTTCAAAACTGTAGCATCACTGCGTTAAGGAATGGACCATACTTGTCACTCAAGCTCAACCAAATCTTAGTTCTGATAACATATTTTTAGAAATGTAGATCATGAGGGGACCAAAGTCTAGATTGATAGACAAATGGGCAAATTCATGATTCAACTTAAAATTTTTAAGCCAACTGGTTAGGATCAGAAACAATTATATTTATGAAAATATATTTTCAACCATCCTGCCCAACAAGACTAAACCCAGTATTCTAATCTGTCTTAACGATGGAATGATACTGGACAAGATAAAACCTTTGTTATAGTTTTAGGGGTCATACCCAACTAAGATTTTGATAACCATGTTGCATGCGTGATGGCCTATGATGGCCAATGGATCAGTCTTTGATCCTAGTAACCATGTTACATGCATAGAAAATAGATTTTCATTTGCTTGTTTGAATTGATATCTCACATGATATTATTTAGAATCGAGAAATATGGACGCTGCGCATAGGCAATTTCAGCAAAGAATATTAAGAGTTAAAACAAACTGAAGTACATGGAAATATTTACCTGCCAGCTAGGGACAAAATATGGTACTCCAAGCTTGACACCAATATCTCTTGCAACTAAAATATGACCAGCTTCGTGGGACCCTAAAATAAGAGCAGTAACAAGGGATCCAGGAAGGCCATCTTTCAACAATTCAAGATTGTCAAACATTGACCTAAATAATAGTGTCATAAGTAGCCAATGGTTTCTGATTGTACTTTCCAGAAAATATCTTAGAAAAAATTACATAAACGGTTACATCTAATCACAAGTTATTTAAGGACTTGGCCAGCTGAGTCAACAGATTTCTATCAAAACATATACAAGAACTTGAAAAGTTTAAGAACAATGTCTAATATTAAGCAGATTTTTGCAAGTAATCATCAAACTCCAGTTTCCTTAGAAGTAACTAAAGCACCTATCTTTCTCTAATAGTTCAATTCCATTACCTCAAAACATTCAGCACAACACACTATCACTACTCTACTTTAGCAGGATTGCACAAAAATGCCATCATACCAATTTTTGCTACGTTTAAGGCATCCATACTGACCAAGTGTTGGACATTTTCCACAGAAGGATGACAAATATAAACAAAATTCAAAATCAACTTTTGCCTCTACCTAAACTATTTCGTAGAAAAAGAAATAAAAGAACTACTCATTGAATGAAAACTCCACCATTGTTAGGTTGAGCGATTAAGGCACAAAGCTTTACCCAATACTATAAAGAAGCTATTTTCATGATTCAAAACTATGATCTCAAGGTTACATTAGAGACAACCTAACTAAAGGCCCCATCCTCTAAATATATGTATTTAGTTGCATTGCTTAGAATAATTTGGAGAATTGTTTAAAAGGGGATTTGATGCCAATTAATTGAGCAAGAAATATATTTTTAAGGGTTTAGGGCTGCATTCAATAATCACTAAAAGCATAAAGAGGAAAACTAGTCCACAATAATTGGGGTTGTATTAGACCGGTCCGACGGGACCGGCTTACGCGAGCAGAGGCGGAAATGTCCGCCTCCTGTACGCGCCGAAAGCACGCTCGGGCGTACGTTAGCCTGTTTGGGAAGGATTTTTTAGAGAGTTGGGAGGGAAATTTGAATGTAGGGACTGTTTAGGGATTTTCTTTTAATTTGTATGCATTAAATAGTTTGTTTTCCTAAGGTTAGGGCATCTTGAATTTGGCTGAAATTTGAGATCTCTTAGTTTATTTGGGCTGTAGCGGCGTCTAGAGATTGGGAGAGATCGATCCTCCTCTCGAATAGAGGATAAATTGTATCTTGGTATTTTCCTTTTCCTTTTTATCAAATAATACAAATTATCTACTGTTTTCGTGATTTTGTTTGGATTTTTGTGGAGATATCTCGCTGTTTTTCGAAGATTGATAGGAAACACTTGTAGATTTCAAGTATTTCCTATCAGTTTGTTGGTAGTGCTCCACAGAAGAGGAAAGACTTAAGCTTTTGAGGTTTTCTAAGTGTTAGCTAGAAGTTTTAAAGCTTAATAAATTGTTCTGTTCTATGAACTCTGTTCTTAAAATAGGCAATTACAAGATCAATATACAACTAGGAGTCAAACTCAAGACCATATAAAACAAAACAAAAACTAGACAGAGATTATAGCAAAAACTCAAACAAACCATAGTAATTGATCTATTGCTGCAACACGGTTATGAATAATGCTCATGAGCAATATCATGATTATCAACTTCCAAATAAGAATAAACAAGCTCTAAACTCCAACTTAATGCATTGCTCAATTTTCTCCACCTTTCTCTAACACTCAAGTTTTTTTTTTTAATATTAAAACATCCATCTTTGATGGTTTGAATATAAATATTTCCAAAGTCTGAACAACCATATTTTACCCTTTAATATGTTGCAATGTATTGCACAATTAACAATAGCAACAAGATTTTTAAATTTCTATGAACTTATGGTATAAGAATTATTTCTATCTTCTTTAAAAATTCTTACATATTCCTCATGATGACTGCCTTCTCTATAGGTCCAACAAACATGAACTTTCAACTTTGATAATATTCTTCATAGGAAATACTGGACCTCATTATGATTTTTATTCTCAATCATTCAATAGGGATATTGCTTGCTTTAAGTGCCTTTCATATAACTAAAATTTATTTCTATCTGATCTTTCCTTTCTCTTTTTTTTTTCAAGTTATGTATATTTTTAATTTATTTCTATCTTAATCACAATGCAATTTTGCGGTTCTTAACTATTATTTTTTCTTGAAAATGATGACTTCATTTTCCTATGACATGCAAGTCTTACATCAATTCTTCTTAGCTTCATACAAATCCTCCATTCTTAGAAATCGTCAAAAGTAACACATCTTCCTAGCAGTACATATACCTTTCTCTAAGCACCTCACTTCAATTAGTAAACATCGTCACTATCAATATCGCAAATAACAAATCATGTCAAAAAGAAGCGAAGAGGAAGATTTGATGCATTAGCCAAGGGGAAGAAAATCTATTACCCTCACAATAATGGAATTTCTAAAATTTCTCTAAGGAAGAATATCTTCATTTTAGATTTTTGCAAAAAGAACTCTTTAACTCCTTTTTTCAATAAATTCAAATTGAATGATTTTTTTTTTTTTTTTGCAAGGAACTGATCCAAAATCAAATTGACACCATTAGAAAGTTGTATTATGATGTCAAACTGACACAAGATTAATGCTGTAAAATGCTATGGAAACAGTAGGATTATTTCTGCAACCAAAGATATTTTTAAGAGGACTTAGGATTTCTATACAAGAAATCAAGAAATTAAATCAATAGGCATAGGAATATCTACGTTTGTAAGATTTTTCAACATAGTACATATTTTATAGAAGCAACTTTAAAGTTTTCAAGATGCATGCAAAGATCTAGGTTTTTAGAGGAGAAACAATGTAATAACTATGCAATTCAACATGATGCTTAGAGGATCAATAAAGTGGATTATCACGAACATGATCATCAAAAACCCTAATTAGATTTCACTACATATAAACTCCTTTCTACTTCCTCTAAGGGCTTGGATAGGAGAAGAATATATGGGTCATGCAAAATTTGAGGTCAATGGAGGCCAAATTTGTCATGACCCAACCTGGAATCTCGAATTAACGAGGTGGGAACAACGGTCGAATGAATATCACAATTATTTCAAAAATTCAATTACTTGATAAACTAAATAATATTATTTTTTAAAATCTGAATAGCCACTCAAATAATTTCTAGTTTAAAATACAATAAAACAGTTCTTACATATTTTCCTTTGACCCTCTTTTTCTGTACACGAAACATTCTCGATCAAACATTTCATCAACAGGGGACTCGCATGTAATTTTCAATCTAATGATTTGAGTTCTCAATAATAAACTCAATGATCAATTATAATTTACAGTATAATAGTAAGAATGTCTCATGTATATAAGTATTATGTCATGACATCAAACTTTTCATTACATAACCATAAAAATATGAATACTATAATTCTTTCTTTGAGCAGGCAACTTAAAAATAAATAAGTCCAGTAAACCAAAAATGCTAAGTAGTCATGGATGCTCCCTGCACATGTTCCAACAAAAATAGTAAAATCAATTTCAATATTTCAAAAATTACCTAGTTGAATTCCCTGAATAAAGAAAGTTCAACCGCAAAAGTTTTTATGACAAGAGCTAAATATAGGAAATATGTGTGCACACACTATTATATTCTATTCCTAGGATGGTTTACTGCCCATTCATTTATATAAATGGGTGTATCCAGAGCATGGAACTCTCACTAATAAACAGCCTTAAGAGGGGTTGATGTACGCAAACTTACCTTACATTTGCAGAGAGATTGTTTCTGTGACTATCTTGGGATCTCATATGCTATGCCAAAGACAACTTAACCATTACTCTAGGCCCTCATTGCAGCCACTCATTGATATCTTTTCGCCTAATAATACATTCCAATTTCATACAGATTCTAAAAAAAATGTTTCCAGTTCAAAGTTATTTAGATACCATACCATCTTTAGGATAGCACATCACTTGCAGTGACAATATAACCAAACAAAAAATCTCACATATTGCTTTAACGTATAAAACAGGGGAGCACAACAAATGAACAGAAACCATGTTCAGTTCCCTCAGTCATACAAAAATGACATGATAACAATCAGGGTTAAAACCAAGAATCAAGACCTGCTTTGACTAATATGAGAGAAAACAAGAGCAGAAGTTCACCTCAAGTTCCCTCAACTGCTAAACCCCAACCAAAACACCCACACTATCCCAACCTAAAGCAGAAAAAGGCCCACGCATAATCTTATTAGTCCAAAAAATAAAAGATAGGTGAGAGAAACTCACAACAAGTTCGACTGCAATGCAGGCACATTTTGGAGAAGTAAGGTGAAAATGGTGACCAGTCCAAAAGCACTGGCAGCAAACCATTCTGGGACAGCTGCAAATGACATCCAAGCACGTAAAAGGAGAGTAGGATCTACTTTCATATTTTAAAACACAAATTCTACTCAAGAGGAGAGAAGAAAGTGCTAACATTCTGCTCATTGCAATTTGAAACAAAGAATAATAACTGAACCTGAAACCTTGTCTAGCTAGTGATAATATAAGTACAGGTGAGAAGTAGCTCAAGTGTAATTTCACATTACCAGTTGCTTCAACCTGGAAAGTTTGTTTAGGCACCACAACGGCCACTGGTTTATCATCCTCCGGATCAATCAGAAGGAAAAACTTATACTGATCCCCAAATCTATCCTGTGACAACAAAATTACACAAAACACGGTAAATAGAATAGTTGGAAAAGACAATTAAGAATGAAAAAGGTGTGGAGGTTAGGGCTCAAGTGTAACTTCTCCACTGTGAACTCCACATTTTCCTTCAAAATAACAAATTTAGAAAAAGCGTATAGAACACATTACCTGCATTCTCTTTGTTATCTTCTCATAACTTTTAGAAGCCTTCCCTCTTAGATTGCCTCGAAACAAAACCCCACCCTGCCAAGATATTATGGCAAGCTAGGAGATTAAATTGGACACCAGTGGAATAACAACGCTAAGCATTCCTGGACATGAACTTGAAGCATTTCTTTTATCTTTCCTTATTGTGTTTTAACGGACAAAGTAGCTCTATGAAATTAATGAAGGGGATTTTTATATCAAATTAACGTCATAAAAAAAACCTCAGGGGAATTTAACTCAATACTTATGATAGCTAAAGGGAAAGAAAGAAAAAAGTTGAAAATCTCAGAAGCAGTTCAAGGAATTTTAACCTAGACATACGAAGTTACATTAAGCACACAAGGATAAAAGCATACATGAATAAAAGCATATATCCACACAAATATTTATGAATGCATTTATATGAAATATGGACGTATATATACTGGTACAAATATAAATTAAGAGAAAGGACAAAGCAGTTTTTTGGATGCCAAGACAAATGATATTCTCCAAGCAAATATATGCTGAAAGGGTTAATGCAAGTGCTTGTGTAGTTTGTAATCAAATTTTTTATTCATGTAAACCTGTTTGGAAAAGAACTAACAATGTAGATAAGTAAAAGATACAGCAAGCAACCAAGATACAAAAAACAATGTCAACAAAGTAGAAAAAAAAAAAAAAAACTTTCAGAAAGGCCGTAGAAATACATATCTGGTAGAACAATCTATATGCATCATAAGTACACTTAGGCTCTATCACAATTTAAGGTGCTGTGATATCTTAAGGCCTCAAAACCTTATGGAGGTCATCCCTCCCTTCATATACTTTTGGAGTCTAGGGACCTAATGCAAAATAAATTTGAGTTTTCAAAGATAGAGTGTTTCACTTTCTCAGAGATTCCCCATAAATAAAATTTTGGACAAGTAAGAGTTCATATTAGAACTAAGGAATCAACATTCTCTGTAGGAGAAATCCTACATGATTAATTACATCTCATTTGCAACACTAGAAAACACTCAAGGACGTCACATGCACTGTGGTATGATGGTGGTTAAATTTGGATATTTTAATTTAGGGTATACTTGCGAGAAAAATGGTCAACTTCACCAAAATCTTATGCTTCCTTCATCATAGTCAATATGGTGGACCCAGTTTGCCAACAACAACATGCTTTGATTTTTTATATATCTTTTAGGGAATTTGATTAATAGTCATGGGTTGCCTCTTATCAAATATCCAAAGTCTTGTTGGTGAGCACACTTCAGCACTCCATATTGATGGGATCCAATGACTTAATAGAATCACCTAGAAATACCAATATGGTTGTTAATGGTTCACGGATATTCTAACGGGACTTAAACAGAATAACTCAAAATGACCAGTATGGTTGATCGATCCACATGACTAATTTAGAAATTCAAAATCAAGCCCTCAATTCAATTTAGAAAGAAGAGCATCAAAGACTACATGGGCTATGTGATTTTAGTGTTAAAGGATAATCTTTAAGGTCACATCCCATATTAAAAATTTGAAGAAAGTTCTTGAATGTACCACTATTGAGGTTAGTAACTTTATGGGTGCCTTAAATCGAAAGCACTGAATTAGCTCAAGCATCAAGTTGAAAAACAATGACTCGAACAAAGATCCTAACCACAAATGTTTATTTTCTTTGTCCACTTCAGTGAGTATTTGATTCACGGGAAGAGCTGCGAATAGACTTGAATATTGGTAGGACTTATAGGTGCTTATCCTCGCCAGAAGGTTAATTTATAAGTCAACAATTACGCATCTTCTTATTTGACAAAATGACCCTAAATCTTAAGTTCATGTATTTGATAAAATCTCAACCAAGGGGTTTGGGGATCCCTATAGACATTTCTCTTAGTAGGGCATATTGGTGATAATGTTTCCTGAAGTGAAATTGAGCATCATCGCATTTTGTCCGACCAGAATGGATTGGGCAAGATGAAGATTAGCCTAGCAAGTTTATAACTTCTCATGCCTACTGATAGGAATATTACCAATAAGTAATTTGTCTTGTTGAATGGACCAACTTACTAGTAGGTAGGAATCCTATCAAGCCATAGAAGGCAAACAATCACATAAAAATACAGCTTGAAGGGACATCACCAATCTAGCCTCAATTCACTTCACGTCATACTGAGCGTTAGGCGAGGTGTAGTGTCATCCAACTTGTATATCAGTGTAACCACCAAGATGGCCGAGAGTTGACTACATCAAATGTATGGAGGACCACATGTCATCTTTCGAGCGGCTCCTAGAGTTCATGTCGTCGATTGCAAGTAGATCCTATGAGCCAAGGTAGGCTAGATGTTTTGGTGTGTTGAGTAAGCTGATTGTCATGCATGCAACTGGCAGGGCAAATGACCTGAAAAATATGGACCCTCCAGTAGCGTTGGCAAGCATGCGAGGCATAGCATTGCCAAACTATTTTGTTGTCGTAAGTACTGGGTTAGTCAAGAATTGACTCTACAACTAATAGATGAAAGATGCTCACATTTCCTCTTTTGTCGTAGCATGGTTTCTCTTTGAGGCTCAAACTAAATGTTGGGGTGACCTGAGCAAGATATCAATGCCAAGATTGAGCCTTGTTGATCTGTTAACCATCATGAGGTAATTTGAATTTAGCATGAAGCATGAAACAAAATGAGTTCCATTAATTGAGAAACAATGCTACAATACAAGGAGAAAGACAACTTGATGTGATACTTGCCCATAGGGCAAACATAAGACAAAGCCCTCAAGTGAGGGTATAAATGGAAAAATACAAATAACAAATAAAATACATGAAAATAAATAGACACGATCGTAGCCGTTGATCTTCGATGTCCTCATCACAACTCTTCCTTGAATCCTGTCTCTCTAGGTCTCCCTCTTCACTGTCCTTTCTTTAGAACAAGAAGATCTGATCTCTAGGATTGGAAACTCTAAGGCTTCATCATGCCAGAAAGCCAACAAGAGACTCCCTAAAACTCCTCTCCGACATTTCTTTATAGAGATGGAAAATTAGTTATAATATGGGACACATTTAGCTTGCTAAGATGTGAAATTCATGTCATATATTTATTTCAAGATTCGTCTAGAGATCAAATCAACAAGAGGGATTTTTTTTCTCCGTGTTATCATTTCTTCATATTTTGTATATAATAGAAAAAATAAATAAGGTTTATAACCAACCTTACTCAACTCAGCTTATGTTTATGAGATCCACTAATGACTGAGTTATTCATTCTCAATTGTCAGATTTTTCATTAATTTTTTTGTCCATTTAGTTTTTTGTTTAAGAACTTCAACAAGAAGAAAAGCCCATGCCACTATCTATCCATAAAAATTAGATAGCGCTTCGACGTGCCCCAATAATGTAAGGCGGTAAATTATACGATTCCAGGTTATTTAAGTTCAACAATGCATATACATCACCCCATAAAAAAGGGCATTGAGAAGTTATTCAAGTGAACTCACCACATTACAAAATTCATGTGCGTGCAGTGTGAAGCACCAAGGTCATGTTAGAACCTCCCAACACATCAAAATAGTCACAAATGAGTGGTGCACAAAGCATTTAGGCGACTTAGAGCCCCCCACTACATCATGAAAGACATCTATGGGTGTTGTTGCCCCCTTCGGCTATACAAGGGCATAATGCATGCTCCTACAGCTTGTAGTTCAGCATCATCAAAGAGGTGTCGTCGAAAGAGAGGAAAGCACAAGGGCATTGAGCATAAGAGAACTTCATGTACCTTGATGTCCGCACAAATTTTAATAGGGAAAATTTTTAATAGGGCATTGTTGCAATCTTCTTTTATCTTTATACCTCTTCTTCTTCACCATTAGTATTTCTAGAAAGAAAAAGGAAGAGAGATCTTACTAACTAAGGGAAGTAGTACTTAAAAAAAAAAAGGGAGGAAGAGTTGGTTTGTGGTTTAAAATGGTTTAAGAGGTGTGGGGCATACTGTTCCAAGTTCTTTCCCAAGATTATTCCTATGTGGGTATCATCAGGACATTCGACCTTATCATATGAGTAATGAACAAAGAGTCCATAAATCATATTTTTTTGCTTAAGGTCATGTTCCTTGGGTTTGGATGGCTTAGTTTTTAACCAATATTGACCCATTTGTCTTCATGGATTGACAATAGCATGGTTTTAACTTGGTTTAGCCCAACTAAAGAGTTTTGAACAAGTTGACTAAGGTTTGACTAAGTTTGATTGAGTTTGATCAAAGTCAAATGGGTTGAAACATTCAAGCAAAGTGTGGGGAATGGACTAGTAGCACTTGTGACTTTCCTAGATTGCTGCCACTCCAAGAGTGTTTATGTGAACTATAATACTCGTATTCCATTCCACTAAACATTTTATATTCCTAAGCTAAAGCCACTTACCTTTGCATGCATTGGTTTGATGATATCATGTGACTGGGAGAGGATAAAGGGCAGTTAGTGGAGCCTTAGCGGAATGTTAATGATAATATTTTATTAGGAGGTTGCCTTAAGCATTAAATCTACAACCAGTTCTTTCTTTTTCCTCATTCAAACAGTTGTTGTTGCGGAGAGATGCAAGTCGTGGGCTGAAGCTAGGGGGAAGCTTATCCGTGAGGGAGGCTGGTGAGGTAGTTGCTGTTGCAGGGGTTGTAGAGGAAGAATTCAGCAAACATATAAGGTAAGAAATAGAAAATTTTAAGGTTGTTGTATGCTGTAAAATTTTGTAAATGATTAAATCAGTTAAGTTACTGTATTTTGCTACATATAAAAAAATGTAATAGAAAATAGTATAATAAGAGATGTCATCAAGAGTTTAGTGCTACAGGAATTGTTGTTGCTTGCTGAAACAGTAAGGGAAAATGCTGTTGTTTGTTGTTGCTTACTGAAACAGTAAGGAAAAATGCTGTTGTTTGTTGTTGCTTACTGAAATCTATTGGCATAAGAGTAAAGGCTAATGTGTTGAATTACAGCATAGGGCCGCTGTGGAGACTGTTGTAGATGTTGTAATTGCAGAAATCATCTACTATCAGCTAAAATCAGTAAGAAAAAAGAGG